GGTCTTTTTCCCAACCTAGTGCCCTTTAAAAAGGGGCTTTTTTACCAAAACCTAGGGGCTCCTTTTTAAGGGTCTGTTTCCCCGACAGTGCCCCTTTAAAAGGGTTTCTTTTGGGGATGGGGGTTTAAGGGGTTTTTTAGATGGGGGTTATTAGGGTAGGGGGAAGGGGGGGGGGTTTGGGGGTTGGGGGGGAAAGGGGGGTTGGGGGGGATGGGGGTAGGGTTAGGGGGTGGGGGTTTTTGGGAAATTTTGGGGGGTTGGGTTTTGGGTTGGGGGTGGGGGTTTGGGGGTTTCGGGTAGGGGGTTTTGGGGGGGGGGGTTTGGGGGGGTGGGGTTTGGGGGTTGGGGGGTGGGGTTTGGGGGGGGGGGTTTGGGGGGGGTTGGGGGTTGGGGGTGGGGGTTTTGGGGGGGTAAGGGGGTATTTTTGGGGGTTGGGGGTGGGTTTTTTAGGGGGTAGGGGGGGGGGGTTATCTTTTTTTAAAGGGTTGCCACCCCCAACCCCTTTTCCCTTCCCCCCTTCCCATCCCCAAAAGGTTTCCCTTGGGGGCCCGTGTTTCAAACCTTTCGAACCACCAGCCCCTCCCAAAAAGGGGGTTTTTTTGCAGAGAGAAAGCCTTGGGTTTTTAAAGTTCCTGGAATACTTTTCGTTTTTAAACTCTAGATGTATTTTGGGGGGAATGTATTTGTTGACCGGGTGCTCCCCAAAAGGGTTGAAGAGGGAGGAGGCACTCCGGGGAAGGAAAAAGAGAGAGAAAAGAGAGAGAGAAAACGGAGAGGGGAAAAGAGAGAAAAAGGGGAGAAGAGAGAGAGAAGAGAGAGAAAAATAGAGAAAAGAGAAGAGAGAGAAAGAAAAGAGAGAAAAGAGGAAGAGAGAGAAGGAGGGGAGAAGAATAGAGAGAGAGAAGGAGTAGAGAGAAAAAAAGGAGAGCGAAGAGAGAAAAGAGGAGAAAAAGGAGGGGAAACCCCAGGCCCCGGAAAAAGGGAAGAGGGAGGCCCCAAGTTAAAGGTAAAAGGAAAAAAAAAGGGGAAGGAAAAGAGCGGGGCCCCCCCCCTCCCGGGCCGGAAAAGAGAAACCACAACCCATTAAAGGGGGCAAGTTGGAAGGGGAACTCCATGGAAAGAAAAGGGGGCGGTGGGATGGGAGGAAGGGGGAAGGGGGGGAGAAGGGGAGCTTGAGGGGGGTCGAGGGAAAGTACATTAAGGGGGTAAAAAGGGGATGGGGGGTATACCAAAAAACCCAAAAAACCTAATGGGAGAGAAAAAACCCCTGCCCTTCCCCCCCTTATTCTCCCCCCCCTGTTTTTCCCTTTTCCCCCATCAACCTCCCCCCCGCTCCCCAATTTTCAGATAAGAAGGAACCCCAACAAAATGAAAAAGATGTTAGGGGTTTTCCCAATTTTGATTTTTCTGAGTCAAAAATCGTTTTAAGGGCCTGAACCCTCCATCAATTTGGGGTAGCTGACCCAGTGGGCCAAACGTATCGGGAAACCCCAAAACAGCCCGTCAACAAAAACCCTTTAGAGATACCTTATCTATTTTTCCCAAACCATATCAACCCAACTTGTGGGAATGTAAATGTAAAAGGGGAAAGGTAAATTTAAACATTACGGGTTGATGTTCACTGTCCTCTTTCATTATTTTCCCCAAACCCCTTGTTTTGAAGAATCCCCTGTCCCTCAAAAACCCGTCTAAACCTTTGGACCCACCTGACGGCAGATTTTCCCCCCCTAATACAGACAAAAAAGGATTTTAAAATTTTAAATTTGATTTTTAATAGGGCTTTCAAATTTAAATGCATTAAATCCCCCCCTAAAACCATCTATGGGTTTACATTCAAGCCCTGGGAAAACCGTGGCAGTTTGAAACCCTTTACTAGCTAGCTCCTACTGCTGTATACTGAAGGGATGGAAAATGTTTTGAAAGGGGGTTTTTAAAAAATGGGCGAATTTAAATTTTTCAAATTTTCCCCCCCCCAAATTTCCCTCCCCCCGGGGGGAAAAAAACCAAATACTTTTCATATACAGTGGTTTTCAAAAGATTCCCCCCCCCTTTAAATTTTTTTCCTATTTTTTTTTTGCCTTTAAACCCAAAAAAAAAATTGATTTTTGGGGGGGGGTTTTCAAACATTTTTAATTACACAACAAACCCTAAAAACCCTTTTGGGAAAATGCAAAATACTTTTTATTTTTGAAAAAACAAAAAATAACAAAAAAAAACAGAAAAATTGATGTGCCAATAACCTTTTTTCAACCCCCCCCCAAAATCCAAAACTTTGTAAAAAAGCCACCTTTTTATTTTATTTTTTAAACCCTTTTTTAACTAGGCAAGTCATTAAAAAACCCAATTTTTTTTTATTTTCCAAGACGGCCTACAAACCGGCCCAAAGGCCCCCACCCTGGGCCCAAATTTTGCGCCCGGGCCCCATGGGACCCCCCCCCCAAAATCACGGCCGGTTTTGATACCCGGGAATTTAACCATGGGGCTGTAGTGACCTTCAAACACTGAATGCATGCCTTAGAAAACCCCCCGGGCCCCTTTGGGGGCCTGCTTTTGCAGCAATTTAACAAGCTGCAAAATCTCTTGGGGTAAAGGGCTCTATAGCTTGGCCAGCCCAGCCACCAGGTTTTTTCCCATTTTCAAAAAGGGAAAAACCCTTTCTCCAAACTTTCCCCAAATTTGGGTTTTTTTCCGCTGGTGTAAAAAGCAAACTTTAAAAAAACCAAAGATTCCAAATTTATTGAGGTCTGGGGTTTTACTAGGGGCCTTTCCAAACATTTTAAAAAGTTTTTTCCCCCTTTAAAAAAAACCCCCGCCGTTGCTTTAGCCCGTAAAGCCTTTGGGGCATTATCCGCCCGGGGAAAGGGGAAACCTTTCCCTCCCAGTTCCTCAAATCTCTGGAAAGAAACAGGTTTTTCCCCCAAAAGTTTTCCCCATATTTTTAGCGCCATTTCCCTCCCTTTCCCTTTAATTCGGACCAGGGGGTTTCCCCCCTCCCCGCAGAGAAAAAAAAAAAAATCCCCCCACTAAAGGAAAGGGGTTTATGCAAAACCCGTCCCGGAAACCCTCGATGGTGCAGCTGTTAACTTTTTTTGAGGTTTTCTGGGACCCCTTTCCAAATCTTTTCACTCCTGAGGGGGAAAAGGCCCTTTTTCCCCGGGGCCCCCTTCACACTGTCTTGCTGTGTTTTTGGACCAAAGAAAAGGTTTTGTTGGTGAGGGGGACACCAAGGAACTTGAAGGGTCTCAAACCCTTTTCCCCTACAGCCCCGTCGAGTAAAACCACTAGTGAAAAATCTGCTGACCGGCAATACAAGGGAACGCACACTAAAGGAGGACATCTTTTTTTCAGGCTAACTAGAAATGTGGGCGCGGGATGCCTAGGGCCCGAAGGTAACAAAAATAGCCCCGTGGGGAACTACACTTTTTTTGCCACATTGGGGGGGGACAAAGGCGGGAGGGGGTATCTTCGAAACGACCCCCAAATTTTGAGTTTTTTCCCCCCGAAAAACCCCCGGTTTACAAAAAAAACACGACCGTTAAAGGAACGAGAAAGGGAAAGGCCTTTACCTTCTGGCAGAGGGTTTCAAAGAAAAAGTCCGTGTCCTTTTTTCTTTTGCCCATCTTTAATCTTTTCTTATATTGGGCAGTCTGAATTGGCTTTTTCTTTTGGAAACCTTTGGCCCCCTTTAATTCAACATCCCGGGGGTCCCCCTCACTGTTGACGTTGAGGGGGTGGTTTTTTTTTGGGGACTAATTTTTAAAAAGCTGGCCCCGTTGAAGACCTTGAGGCGCTGTTTTTTGAAATGGGCTTTTTTTTCTTTTTAACTTTTTGAGTGTAATGTTTACGGTTTTTTTTTTTTTTCATTTTTTTTATTATCTTTTCCTTTCTTTGAAATGGTTTAAAATATTTGAGTCGTTTGAAGACGAGACCCCTTAACTCTGAAAATTTTCAACAGGGGGGTTGTTTTGGGGAAAAAAGGGCTCGTGAAAAATTTTTTAAATACAGGACGATGAAGTGTCGGACAAAGGGTTTAAGGGTTTTGGGGGAATTTTATGACGTTTTTGGGCAGGTTGGTGCCCCTTTTTTATCCTAGAGACAGTTTTTTTTTTCCCTTTTAGCCAACCCTCCAATCAGGAATTGGGGAACAAACATTTGGAATGGCAAGCTT